GAGAGGCTGCTTAGCAAAGAACAGGACTAGAGTCTACTCACTGCATTTATATATTTTATTAACAGGGGTACATATGATATTTATGTAAAGTGCGATGGTGTTGGGAGGTGTGTTGGAACCTACGATAACCGAGGAAGTTTTGGTGAGTTGGCCTTAATGTACAATACACCCAGAGCAGCTACAATTATAGCTACCTCTCCTGGTGCCATCTGGGGTTTGGTAAGTGAAAGACTTATTTTAATATATTATTCCTTTATTTAAAATATTGTATATAAATTGCATTGATATGTTTTATCAGCATAAAAAAATAATTTTCGTTTCAGAAAGTTTAATTTTAAAACTTCTGCGAACTCCTGACACAATACTGTCTTTTTCCACATTTGCAGGAGCAAACCTGAGGCTTAAGAAAACACTGAGTTTTAAAAAAAATCATTTTGTTTTATTCTATTTTAATGATAATTTCCCAGATTGCAAACCACTTGGCAATTGCTTAGACACATATATAAAATGTTTTTCCACACTTTGATAAGAAATGCTTTTGGTTCCAGAGTAAAATTCAAATATGAGGTTATTTACCAGTCTTATACTGTCTGGATCCTTGACAACAGTAATAGAACTTACCAAAAAGAGTAAAACTGGCATAGCCATCTTCTTCAAGATGGGCATATCAATCTAATGGGTGATCCTAAGATAACATTTTCCAAATGAAGCAAAACACATGTTTTTTCACCAGCTTAATCCATGTGACTTTTGGGATGCTGGCAGAGTTTAGGAAACTATAAGAATGGCTTTAAATTGGATTGGGTTATATTGGCCAGCAAGTTCTACCTGTAGCAGTGAAGGCTTGCAAAGCATTTCACCTCTGTCTGTCACCAGGACATGAAGTTAAGAGAAGAAAACAACATACGTGTAGTTTTTCTATCTGCTTCACTTGGATTGTCAAATACGAAGGAATGTGCAGTTGGCTGTTCAGGGCAGCAATGAATCTTGTTCTGCTGAAATAGCAGAAAGTGGACTCTGACCTAAGACCCAGAGCCGTGTATTTTAGTTTTGTTTGTATAAAAATATAAAAACCTCTCTGAGTACATATCAGTATGAATCAGACCTCAGGATAATGAATAAACTTTGTAATTAAATATTTAAATGAGGATTTCTTAAGTTACCCATTCGGTGTTCATTGTGTAGCCAACCTGATTAAGGTAAACTCTCCACGTATTCCCTGCCAAAGGGCAGAGAAGCTTTTTACAACATGAGTCAGATCAGGAGATCTACGTTAGGAGGTCTTGACTGACCCCTAGAGGAATCTTTCTCAACTGACTGTATGGGGAGATTAGCTAGCTAGTTTGATGACTGCATCGAGTAAAATTGGGTAATTTGAACAGATTCAGCCATTTCTAAAGTATTTTCTACCACACATGTATTTTCTGTTAATAAACTCTCTTTTTTGCTTTGTGTTTACAGGACAGGGTAACATTCCGAAGAATCATTGTAAAAAATAATGCCAAAAAGAGAAGAATGTATGAAAATTTTATTGAGTCGTTGCCATTCCTTAAATCTTTAGAAGTAAGATTTCTATTGCATTATTTTAATGGCTGTATCAGAGATACCTGATAAGATTCTGCTTTTGCAGAGTTTACATTTGGAATTAAAATTTTTATCAACAGAATTTTTGAGAAAGAGCATATTTTTGATATTTCTAAATTTTCAGGATAAAGAACTGTTGTTAATACTGTATTTTAAAAAAAAAACAACTAATTTTTTTACCTTTATCTCCATTTTCTTGAGCTTGATTTTACTAGATATTAGCCAATAAAATTAAATAATGACTTAAGGAATTTCAAAATACTTTCATTTAACAGCTATATTTTTAATTGCATGCTTTTCTAAAAATAATTTTTTAAGACTTGGGATATACAGACTTCTTACAAAAATGGAAGCTCTGTCAAAACATCTAGCTGTTAAGTTTATAGTATACCCTCTGAAACATTATTCAGTATTTCTTTTTTAAAATAATTGTGAAAACAGGAAAATAAAGATACACTGTTCTGTGCAAAGATTCATGAAAAGGCTTTCTAAAATTGAAATGTTAACCAAATATTTCTTACACTTTCTTTTTTAAATGAAGGTATCTGAGCGTCTAAAAGTGGTTGATGTGATTGGCACCAAAGTGTACAAAGATGGAGAACAAATCATTGCTCAGGTACAGTTTATTTCTAGTTTTAGTTTTTCTTTTCCAATAGGTAACGATTATCATGTTATCTATACACAATACATACTTTTAAACTATGTTTTCTTTGTCAACAAAACCAAACCAATTAATCTTGCATCTAAAAGCGGTGATTATTTTGTTTTGGAAGCTAATTTTCACTTACAGTAGTTTGAAAAACATCCCTCTTTGTTGATATGAATAAAGGAGTCAACATTTTTAGTATACTTAGAAATTCAAACTATATAAAAGAATGATGGCTTGCAATAAGGAGCACTGAAAACTTACCTTGTTTTTGTTGTTAAAATATGATAATCTTTTGACAAAGAAAGCAGAAGTAAACTATTCAGGGTAGGCAACTGAGATTGTCTTGCCCCAAAATAATTCTTGGATATCAGATAGCCTTTGGAGGCTTTTTATCCTGGAACCTCTGTAAGGGAAATAATTTGGAAGGAATACAAAGGTGGAGAAACAGGAGGAAGGATCCTAAAATCTTACATAACATTGTTTTTCTCTGCTTTTTGTATAAGGCACAGTCAGCTATGTCTTTACATTAAAAGGCCTTGCTGTCAGTTCTGTATAGATGTTTTGATTATTATGTGCCTTGAGTATGGTTTTCGCACTAAAAGTGATTTCTTTTGCAACAGGTATCAAAAAGATGAGCTTCAAGGCATTGCCTGCAAATATTTTAGTGTTACCATGAAACTAAAAAGGAAATTTCACGTTTTCTTTACTCACTTTCATTTTTTTCAACTACAGGGTGACTTGGCTGATTCTTTCTTCATTGTGGAATCTGGAGAAGTAAGGATTATAATGACAAGGAAGGTAAACATCCCTAAACCAAAGAATTATTTTTTTAAAAAAATCCTGATGTATTGTAAGTGTTAAACAGTAATGCTACCATTGTTGCTAATTTTGCTTATACAATCCTGAGTTCAGCAAATGTCTCTCTCATTCCCTCTCTTCCTTTCTGTTTCTTTTTTACCTGATATTTCAGGGTAAACAAGATGTAGAAGAGAATGGAGCAGTTGAAATAGCTCGATGCTCAAGAGGACAATATTTCGGAGAACTCGCTCTTGTAACTAACAAACCACGAGCTGCTTCTGCATTTGCTCTTGGCACTGTCAAATGTTTAGGTATTGTTCAATAATATTTTGTATCTAATATAAAATGATACATAATCTATATGGTTGTTTTTATTGTAAACTCCGTCTTTCTCCAGAATATAAGATTTAAGTACATTTACCCAAATAAGACTAAGTACATCATCTATTACTGTGCGTTCTGATTTACATTATTTATCTGCAAAAATTATTCATAATTAATAACTGGTATTAAATACAAATTCTCTAGTGTTTCTCTGATTTCATGTAAGTAAGAATTGTTTCAGTACAGAGAGTATTGCTGCAAACCATGTATAGCTATCAGATAAATGTCTAATACTCTGCAGAAAGGTAAAGTATTTCTTTTCTCAGTAGACTGACTCTCATCCATGAAATAACTGTGATAAAAATCCTGTCCTGTTTTATCACTGTAACTTAAACATTAACAAATTCTCTGCCTTCACCAACTGATGATTTAATCATTCAGTCACACTGTAGCCTCAGGCACAGGAAAAGCAAAGACCATAGGAGTTGTGCTCATAGACAACCCTTTGCATCCATTGCTTTACATGGTCTAATGTTTAGCTCCTAAATATTTGTATCTAATTATGGGAAAACTGTAAACTGCAAAGACAGATTTGGCATTCTTGAATGACAGTTTGATTACCAAGCCAGTAACCAAAAAGTTTCTTGCTTATAAAGGTATTATTTTTTTAAAATCCTTATCTCTAAACACACAGGAGGCAATAAAGATCAAAGATGATAGAGAGGAAAGAATAATAGGCAGTGGTGAGGAAGAGTGTCATTACCCAGTACAGGTGAGTTGCTAAGATCTCTGGCACTTCCCAAACAGCAGAGATCTTGAACTTTTCTCAGGAGCCAAGAGACTACAGGCCACCAGGTTGGAAGGTGTTTGAAGTATGAAGTTTCCTCCCTGGCCTATTGGTTAGAACTATAGAAGATAATAATATGTGATCAGGTAAACAAAATATTCTGATTGGCTACGCATTGAATTACTGTCACCAACTTTTCCTACGTTTGCTGGGAAATAAGTGTCTATTACAGTTTTTGCTGTGGGTGGAAGCAAGTAAAAATAACAAGGAAATATGCTAAGTGAGACCCCAAATACAGCCAACATCATCAGCAAAGGACGTGGGTTTTTTTGAAATCTTAAGAAACTGTTCTGTGGAGGAATCCAGGCCCCTCCAGACTTCTTCAGCAGCTCCTGGGTAACATAAATCTTAATATGAAAATATTTTCAAAATAAGAAATGCAGCAAATTCTAAGTTTAGTTTTGAAGGTTCAAGACAGCAGTGTGTTGGTTGGTCGGTCTCAGTTTTGCTATGGTAAGTGGTTGTCCTCTGTACAAAGAAAGTATATGCCTCAGTAGTATCTGTCCTGTTATCATTTAAAATTTTACATTAGAATGTCATAAACACCGAGATGAACATATTATATTCTTTCTCTTTCTCTCTCTTTTTATCTTAGTTATGGATGTGCAGGCATTTGAAAGGCTTTTGGGACCTTGTATGGAAATTCTGAAAAGGAACATTGCAAACTACGAAGAGCAGCTAGTTGCTCTGTTTGGAACAAACATGGACATTGCCGATCCCAGTGCATGAACTAAACATTGGAGCAACAAGATCTGTTATGAGAATATAGCACAGTAGTGGTTAGTCCACTGAGCAATTGTCTCTCTTCCTATAGATGCCAAGCATTTTCTGTGATTTTAAGAGTGGGTTTGGGGGTATTTTTTGGACTTGTAACAGTGGAAATACTAGTAAATAGGAATTTAATAAATTGTGGGCTTGATTTTTGAAAGTGCTTAGCATTGATGGTTCCATCTGGCATTGAGACGGCCCATAGTAGCACAGCACCTTTGAAAATCAAGTCATTTAATACAGCATTTCCTTAAAGAGTAGATTTCAAAAAACCCACCTGCCATGAACTTGTTAAACCAGCTTCTGTTCTTCAAAAAGGTTACAACTTTTCTGGAAAGACTGTTAGTTTGAATGTGATATGTTGAAAGTATTAGTGCACACAAAGTGTTTATATGTATTAATACAGAAGATATAAAGTAGATATTACTTTCTGACTATTACAGTTGTCATGATTTTATGTTGCATTTATCACAGATGTAGTGAATCACAAGACTAATCGTAAGATAAAGCATGACAATGCATTTTGTGTAACGCTCATGACCCAAACCTGATTTTTAACATTTTGTAATTTGTTTTAAAGTCCTCTTTGTTTAATATGTCATGTTTCAGCACGACATTGTAATATCTTATGCAATTTAGAGGACTTGTATATTTTTGCAATAAACTGCATTTTTTATTAGTTACATGTATTCTGTACAGTCCAGAGTGAGAACAGCTGACAAATTAACCTTAATGCTTTAAAAGCAAAGGCATTGGTCATTGTCATGTTCTACCTAATCATACATAACCTATATTGTTTTCCTTCTCCCTTGTTTTATATTTATGCATTTTGTCTTCTCTACCTATGCTTGTTCTGTAGTTAATTTTTTTTTTAGATCTCACCTTTTTTATCTGTTAAATCTTTTACCTATTTCAAATTAAATGATCTCTGTATATCTCTCTTCTTGCAGTCTTATCTTAGTTATCAAAGACCAGATTCAATTACTGAAGTGATTGATGTTGAAAGCCATGCTAAACTAAGCTTGTCCTTGAAAAATCTTTTTCAGGAAGTACAAACATATTTTTAATTTGAAAGATCAATACTTCAAAAGCTTTGCACAAGTCTGGAAAGTATGTCATTGTTAAAGCTAATGTGTCCTGCTTTCAAAAACCTGTAGGTCATCATAAAATAACATCTTTTTAGCCATAACAGCATGGAATACCTTCTGAGACTGAGGAGAGAGAATATCATCTTAATTAGGAGCACAGGGCTCATTGCTTACCAGGGTCTGTGACTAGAAATTTCAGGCACAGTCCAATTTTAATACCACTTACTGACCTATCTGTTGATGGACATGGAAAGCTAGTGCTCATAAGGGCAATTGGCAGTACTTCTGCCAAGAATTGTAGGAAGGCTGCTTGTGCCCTGTTTCCAACACCTGAATTATAACATCTTTCCTTCTTAGATAATGACTTTTCTAATGCCATATATTTGTGTATGTTGATGTAATTATTATCCTATAGTTAGTGATATGTTCTGACAATTTATATAATCATACCTGCATATGAAATTATGATTATATAATATGATAATATATAATTTATATCATACAGTATGGTATAAATTATAAGTCAGATTCCTAACAAAATACAATCTGAGCAAAATTTACAAATGTCCTTTTTTTTTTAACCTAGAAACTTGGTATGAATAATTGCACATATGATAACTTGCCTTTGTACTTTTGATTTACGGAAAAAAGAGAAGCCTGTTATACTAGAAGGAAATATCAGGTAACCAAAATCTACACTCCTGTCATTCTGTATGCTTAATCTCTAAAAGCTACCTGTATTTTGCACTAGCTTGATGTGATTAAGAAAAATGCTAGAAATTACTTGTATGGCAGTAAACTACAATCAAGGCCATAAATGCCAGTCACGATATTTTCAATATTGTTGGTTATATTTAAAGTTTCCTTACAATAAACAACACTTTTATATATAAAAATCTATGTTTATTGATATTGTTGTGTTTAAATTCTATTATCATAAAGTTACAAGTTACCTATTTATATTCATTTATTAAAACATCCATAATTCTTAACACTTTCATGTTGATTTTCATAAGTGATGTTATGTGGATGCTCTGTCTACGCAGAATAGATGATTTGTGTGTGGTAATTGTCATAGATACTTTGTATTTGATGATTTGCGTGTAGTTTTTAGCTGGGAAAAAGCTGTGGAGTGACAAATTTAAGATAATGAGAGACTTTGGATTTTCTGGATCCCGATTGCAGCAGTTTTATTGTGTTGCTCGTGGGGACTGGGTGATTTCTGGAATTGTCTTTGTTGGCAAATTCAGAGGGGGTTAACCAACAGTAATAAATTGTCGGTTTTAAGTTTATCCAAATCATTATATCCTTCATCAGTCAGCACTTGGGATTTCTCCTGAATCTATTGATATGTGCGCTTCAAACATGCCAGTCTTCATGTCATAAACATGGCAAGTGTTCAACCTAAGAAGGAAGTCATACCAAGTAACTGATTTTTAATGACTTTTCAAAAAAAGGTAGATAGTTCTGATAATTTTAAACAATACTATGTCACGTTTGTTTACCTTATGAGACTGTGTTCATACTTAGATTACCTGATGCTTCTGTTATTAAAGATTTTTATTGTCCTTGTTTGTAGTCAGGTTGCTAATGGAATGGGACTTTGGCAATTATGTGGCACATACATGTTCATTTTTATCTCCTCTCTCCCCAACCTCACCGGCAATTTATAATTCTGCAGATGATTTAAATGAATTTGACAGACAGCTAAGTTCTAAAGAGGGGGGAAAAAAAAGCTCCAATGAGTTTGTTGAAAATATGCTCCACTGGGTGAGGAGAGAAAAGCCTGAGAGAAATCCTGTACAGGAGAGGCTTTCCTGGGATCACATGTTACTAAGCAAAAGAGAATCCACATGGCAGCAAATATTTACAAATGACTTAACCATGGGGAAAAAAAAAAATCAGTCACAGCCCTCAGTCCATCACAAGATACAAACCCTGAGGAAAGCAATCTTCCTTGGTCCTAGTGCTGATGCTGTCACCTTTTAAACATAATTTGTGTTTCATGAGATTTCATTCAAGTTCATCTGGAAGAAACGCTTCTGAAATCATTCCCTTCTGGATCTCCTGTTTGAGGTCCAGAAGTGACTGATTGTGGAAGTCTCAGGGCAAAGCTGTGAAGATCGTTGTGAAATCATCTACAACCTAAGACATTGTCACTCCATCTTTCCTCATGTTGTCTTTTGTATTCAGTGAAGACTATTCTGGTCCTTGCTGGAATGGTGGGTTTGATTGTGGTTTGGTTTTGGTGGGGTTTTTTTGTTTGAAATGTTTAGTGCTTTAAGGTTTCTATAAGGTGACTCTGGGGTCAGTTATGTCATGATTTGTGTCATTTTGTACTTTGTGACACTTTCCATGGCAAGCATTACTGTTTTTCAATATCAAGAGTTCCCAGATGTGCAAAATCCTTATCTGCTAGTTATCCTTCACAGACCTGGCACGTCAAAATTCCTAGTTGTCTTTTTTCAGATGCTTGCTGCGTGTGATAGCTTTTGCTGAACAAAGTGCTTTGCTGAAAGTCAGTTTGCCACAGCATGGACATTCTCACATACTCTTGCTAAAGTTTTTATGTTAGTTCAAAGCTCTTTTTATCCATTCATACATGTGATGGTTATAGGTGTGTATTTTTGGGGGGAGTTTCTAAGATACTTTCCTGCGTCTATAGTCCTCAAATAAGTATTACTGTGGTTTTCTCTGGGAGGAATTGCCTCTTTGTATGCTGAGTATGTACAGATCTGTGCTATTGACTGTCTTACAAAATTTAGGATAATTTTCAAATCATTCTGAGAGCTGGATTTCCTTTAGATACATACCAAGGCTGTTTCCAAGTTCTTAATCTACTTTTTGGCTCAGAAAGATGTTTAACAGGCTGGACACTCTCACTTCATGGACCAAACGGAAGCTGAATAATCTTGGTAGAACATGAAAAGCCTGAAGAAAATTACATTTTAATATTGTCTCATCCTTCACCCCATTTCTCTCTT